TTATTCTACAGCAAACTTGTCTTATAATATGAGAAATATGGAAGGGTTGCGTAGCACCACGATCAGAATATTGACAAGAATATAATATAAAACAGTGCTCTAGTATTTGGCGATCACATATTCCAGAGCACTGATTTTATATTATATTCTTGTCTTGTATTATTATTGACTGAAAATGCGAACTTTTTAAAATGACAAAATACAGCGGGCAATCTGGGGCCCAGCCTGCGCTATGCCCCAGCCCAAGAAAAAACTTAAATTTTTATTTGAAAAATAGTCATAGAAAGGTGATAATTTCCCTTTCAACAGTGTGTAAAAAGACCCCAAATGTATTCTCAGTCTCACTCAAAATGGCAACCTTAGAGAAGAGAGTTAACATGTGGTATCAGATGTTGAGCATTAATTGCAAAATTTTTGGCAACCAGCACATTTTTTCAGAATAGTAAATATACTTTTGCACTGGTGGCAATTTTCTTGGAACACTGCATTTCATCTGTTCTACAAAATAGGAATTTTAGAAATCTTAATAATTAAGACACTTGATAACAATTACGTTTATATATCTCATTTTTACCATGCAAACCAGTACAACCTCATATCCTAATCCTCTTAGCAGGAGATAATTCAGAGGTTTCCTTCTTGCTCCAGCTGATGGTTTCTTAGAGACAGTATCAGGACAGGTCATCCAAGGAGCATCGCTGGCCCTCTTGTCACGGCTTGGAATCAACCCAGACTTCTTTAGCAGTCAACCATGTGTCAACCCCAGCGGACCCCAGTCTAATACCAGTAAGCTCCCTGTGATGTATGTGTATGAAATGGACTTGTTTATCTGATAAAAGCAATTTGTATTGGTTATCAATTGTACAGTGTTTTCTCCAGATGTAGATGACTATTCTGTTGTAAGTTACAGTGACACCTTATTTCATTGGAGATTGTCTGAGCCTACAGTCTCCCTGACCCATTCAGCCATACTCAACATTTCCTTTGGTGTAGCGGGGTCTTAAGTGTGATGTCACCTCAATTTAAACCACGCCCACTGCACTTAGTGTAACATGAAACCTTACAACCAGAACTTGAGTGTCGATCCAACAGGAGCTTGTCATCAGTGGTGCATGTGCGTGTATGACAAATCATGAGCCGGATAGTGCTGCCTAGAAGTGAAATTTGACCAGTCAGTTACAAATTTTTGGCTTAACTCTGTTCAATTTTATATTGTCCCAGAATGCAGCTTCTGAGTACCCTAGCCTCTCAGGCCCACTGTGCCATCCTCAACACTTGCTATGGTGATGCAGTGCTGCCTGGATGGGAAGCTTAAACCATCCAGTTACAAGTCTTTGGCTTAACTCTGTGCAATTTTAGATTGTCCCAGTATGCAGCTACCTAGTACCCTAGCCTCTCAGGCTCACTGTGCCATCGTCAACACTTGCTATGGTGTGCAGTGCTGCCTAGATGTGAACCTTGGACCGTTGAATCATGTACTCAGTACATCTATGGTGATAGATCCATGCCTTGGCCAGCTGACTCTAGAGATTGGTAACTGGCAGCACACTAAATCCCTCTCCCACCTTGACTTTGATGCCGCTCAGGAGATTGCCATTGGCAACTTTGCCATGCTCAGGTAAACATTTTCACTTTCTCATAGGCGTGAGGTCAAAATACAGATGGTTTAAACAGTTCAACGGATTGAAAAGAACCGTCTGCCCTGGACTGTCTCGCTTCACAAGCAACAATGGAGTTTGTGGCTTACACAGCCACAGTTGTGAACAGTAGATCCTATTCAAGGAGAACTCCAGGGGGCCGGTCAGCTCTCCTTGGCTGGTCGTAAGGATTAATTGGTTAACAATTTGTGACCGAGATGCAAAATCAACTGCATTCTAGGCTGCAGACATTCTTCTAGCCACAGAAATGTTTTGAGTGGATAATTCATGACAAAAAGACATCGCCACAAGATGCTCGTCTTTAATTAAGTGTTGTTTAGACTGGGAAATAAGGAAGTTTATCTGGGAGTGACAGGAATTGCTAAACATGGTCACCTATTTTAACGCCTGATCTATCGTCTCTGAAGAGAAGTATCCACATTGACACCATATAAATTCATTTTGAACTTCAGTCAGGTGCACCAATATTCTTTGAAGGTAATAAAAAAAGTCAAACTCTGTATCAAATAGTGCTGCAAGTAGGTGTCAAGGTTCGATTCGGACACGGTTTGGAAATCTTTTGCAAACTTTGGTTCGGTTGGAATTCGGACATACACACATGTACATGTACAAAGCACAATGAGACATCAAAATGCTCGCTACAAATGTGCTGTATAGGCCTATATCGTATTTCTATGTATAAAATATGTTAATACAAGTAATGAATCTCCTATCTGTCCCCATCCACAGGCAACTTTGATTTGAATATATTTTTCAAAACTGTTTTCCTAAAGTTTGATTACGAGTTAATTCCAAATAAAATTACCGCCGGAGGTGTGGCAGTTTCGTAGTGTGTTTTGCTGGGCAGAAGCGGTTGTGTTCAGACCACGCTTGACTCAACAAAATGATAGTAGTACAAATAGAAAAAAACAACATGCTCAAATAAGACTTCTCTCCTTCAGTACAGAATACAAGATCAAATTAGATTTTGAGAAAATTGTGTTTTGGTTATTTTTGCGAAATAGATTCAACTTCGAAAATATCTCTTTTGTTGCATATCTGCTTGAGGAGGAACCTCCCAAGGATGGCCTTCGATCTAGCACGAATCAGACTGTGATCAGCATCCAATCAAAATTTGTTTTGCACGGCCATTTATGACATCATTGGCCTAATATGGAACGTCTTTAACCTAAAATGGAACGTAAGGATGCGGCTATCGGAGATTGGCAAATATAATACTAAATCTGAATACACATGAGCACAATTGGATGTATTGAGAATTTAGAATTGTTATGCGGCAACAATGCCGTACGTTGCATATTCTTGGTTGATTTTTGAGTGATTCTCGCCAGGTGCTTTTTACAACCATCTTATGATGCGGGCCAGTGTAAGTTTCATGCACGTGTAGAGCACACCATACAACTCGTTATCCATGTTTCGTTGTTTTTGTTTTTTATTAAGTTTTCTTTTGTGTAAAGGAGACTGAACAGTTTGGTTTGGTTCGGTTTAGTTCGAAAGTGCCTTGTTTGATGATTTCTGGTTTGGTTCGGCAGTTTGCCTGCAGCACCAGATTGAATAATGTTCATGTTTTTTGTTTACTGTGCATTAAGTTTAAAAGGTAAAGGCAAACACCAGAAATTAGTATAAAACCCGACATGTTTGTTTTCCAACATGCATTTTGTGCAGCCACAAAGTATAAAAAAGTACAACAGATTCTTACAAAACAAAATGCAACGTGCACACATGATTGACTTGAAGAAAAAGCATGTATCCTTAAAATCGTGCAGGTGCGGCCGCAAAGTGGAAAGTGCATAGTTCGCGTACTTGTTTCCTCAGTCCTACACATGAAAACCTGTGAGTGCGTAATGCTGAGCCCCAGCTTGCGCACAGGGGCCAAAAAGAGGTTTTATCTAACTACACACTAACGAACAGAAAACTCTGTCATGAACGATTCAGGTAAATGCTATTTCGAGTAAGTATAATCGATTCTGCAGGTATACAGTTAGGTGTGTATTTGACTCACGATACTGAGACAAAATACGAAGATTACAGGGTATCGAGACCTGAACGAATGGTCTGGAAACCAACACAGATATTTCACACTTCATTTGCGACAAAACTACTCCATACACATGCCCTATCAGGAAGTCTAACAGTCTGCAGATCTAAATTCTCCTGCGGAGCTGTAAAGTAAAACATTATTGTCATGACTAATCCACCAGACCGCAGAAGCCCATGATGCTGTAATGCGATAAGCTGTCCATTGTTTACTGGTAGCTGCAGAGTGCATGGTGCACTCAACTGCGAACGGTTAACCTTGCTAAAGTGTTCGTCTGTTTGATGTTGACCGTCGGTGGGGCTTAGCATTTACAAAGCGTTGCACGCTTTCAAAAGCATTTGTATTTTGACCTCATGCCTTAAGAGTTTGCCTGCCAAGGACTTTACAGTGTTAACAGAATGCACATTCTCTCAGATGATGGCATCATCATCATTATAAAGCAGCACCTGCAAAATGCAGCTGGCAAGAGTCGGCCACCCTCTTGTTTCTCTTATTTCAGCTGTTCCTGATCCCAATCACTGAATTACCACTCAATTCATAACAATTAAAGATCATGACGTATTGAAAATTTGGTCTATTATAATATTAACATCTGGCTTTGTCAATCTCATGAAGGCTTTTAAATTCATCAGATGAATAAATTGTTCAGTGAAATTGAAAATGTTCTTCATTTTCTGCTTGACAATAATGCAGGTACACACTGGTGCTGATGGATAGTGATTTGTCAGTCACTCTGTCTGTTGATATATGCATCGATGGACATTGCACTGGAGAACTCAGGATTTTAGATGATGCAGTATCCCCACTGCCTGTGTGCTACCCTAATGGAACCATCTCTTGGAATACTCTGCCAGGTATAACTTGTTTTGTTTCCTGTCAAAAATTAGGAGACCTGTGAAGACCTTTCTCTTTCGCTGATGACTTGAGAGTATGGCTTTATTTCCTATCATTTCTCCCAGGAATAACCTCCATGTCTCAGCTGGGAGGTCTGGATGTTGGACTTGAAGCTGTGGCTACTGCTCTCGGCTTACCATCTCGTCTAGTCTCAGCCTCACCTTGCCCTCTTGTGTTCCAACCAAGACAGTCTGGAGGTAGGAACAGAAACAGCGTGAGCATGTGATTTGACTTTTAAGCTTGGTTGGCGGCATGACTCTTATTTTGTATGTGTGAGAACTGATAGTGTTTTGACAAAGTGAGGAATCTGCTTAATAAATGCAAAACTTTAAAGTAATACGAGATTTTTTTTTTATGATGCCCTCTACATGATTTCAAAATATTTAGAAACAAAATTTTTATCAAACAGGAATTATGCTTATTACAAGAAAATTCAGTTTTTCACTGTCATGAAGAGGCAACTCTCTGTTATCGCTGGTCACTTAATAATATCACTGTTTCTGTGTAGATTTTGTAGCCTCTACTGTTTGCAGTCTGGTGAGGTCACAAATCTGCCCTTTAAAAAGTTTTCATTTTATATACATGTACACCACATATGCACAACAAAGCTTTGACAAATGGATGTTATATTACCAAGTAGTATTTGCATTTTTATTTTTATGAAGTAACTGACGGTTTTGGTGATAAATAAGTTCTTTTAAAGCATGATCTCTTTAAAAACAAACATTCTCTGTGCTGTTTAACAAATGAACTATCGCATTTGCAACATACTTCAATTTGGGGGAAAATATCTGTGATAATATACCCGTCAATATACAAAGTATATAAATTGAAAAACAGCTTCAAACTTGATTTTGCAGCTATATGCATATGTTGGGATTTGATTGTTAAAACAAATTTAGAGTGCCTAGCGATTTGATGGGCTAATAACTATCATAAGCTGATCCTAATCAATATTTTTGGTTATCCATAATTTTCTCTTCTAGCATGTCCACACCTCCCCTCTCTACCCAACCTTCCGTCGGGGGGTGTATGTCACTATTCAGATGCCTGCCTAGGGGTGGAGTGCTGTCTAACAGTAGACCTCGGCATCATCAGTCACACCCTGAGGGCATGGCTGACTGTAGATCCCTGTGACTTCAAACTGAGTGTGGGGTTTGAGAACTGGAGTTACAATGTCACTCTTTTGAGGTAAGAAGTGAAGGCTTTGATGTAGACATTATGGCGTGCTGGTCAACAGTGATTTGCCATTAATAGTCACATTTTACCTGATTAGAGGACAAGCATTTTCTGAGATTTGATGGGTGCTTTAGAGTCCATCATTTTGCAGTTACCCAAAGAGTAACTGATGAAATTATTGTTGAAAAACATCCTTGGTTCTAAGATGGTTATGGGACTAAAATTGCTGTGAAAATGATCTTTTGGGAAAGTCTAATTTTAGAGAAAACAGTGAAAGAAGGCCATTTCCAGCAATGTGTTTGTTGATACTTTTCCAAAATTGCCATTAGAGGTGCGCATACCGTCAACATTACATACAGGCGCACAATTACCCTTCATTGATTCATTGTGTTACACAGTGTAGCTGCATTCAACTGAACATGAGAATTGATCTCAGAAACTGAATTCAGGCACTTTTTAAACATGACTCAGTAACTTTTGATCTGAAATTGAAATCCTAGAATTATTTTTTTTCTTGAAATGTACATGTTTAGTATTCACTGATCCGATACATCATTATGTTTATCCTTAGGCACCCGTCTTTAGATTTTGAGTCATTTTTTTGCCTCTTCAAAAAAACACATTGCACAAATGACAAATGATAGACAGTTGAAGGCAATAGCAATGATGCACACAGACTCATAGGGTAAAATAGGCCTGCAGAGAGGACCTGGACAGGATCTTTCAAGGAAGGTCATATCATGCCCTGAAAATTCCGGGAAGGGAGGTCACCTTGGATCATGACTGTTGTAGGACTGTAACTCTGATCTTTCTGTTTTAGTTACAAATGGGGAAAGGCGACCAGGGAAAGACTGAGTGATGTTGTCTCACTAACCTTCACCCTTGACAAGATGGCTGATAACCGTAACTTCCTCCTGTCCCTCTCCATCCAACTCTGTATCGCTGGAGTCTGTGCTCCAGACATTGTCATTCTCCAAGACTTTACGACACCCATACCATTCTGCAATCAGAATGGGACGTTGGAGTGGGCTCAAGATATGGGTAATGTTTTACTGGTCTTTTTTTTTTAGAAATGGGAACAGATAGAGACATAAGATGAAGTAAGTCATCATGGAATTAAATGACCTGGTTTCATTTTTTTATGGCTCACTTTGTTCAGTTTCGGGTGGGAGAAAATTGTTGACATTGGCCTTCCTTGCACAAAATTCAATTTCTGAAGTGTCCCCATTTTTCCAGGCCATACTAGAGATTATGCAAGTGGCCTAGTGGTGAACCGTCTCAGAGTCAGTGCTGATGTGCTTCTACCTCAACCATGTAATGGTCCACCAGCACAGATTACACCAGCAAACACAGGCAAGTTGGGGAGATTATGTCCAAGTCATATTCATTATTAATCGGTGTATTTTGTATTAAACCCCCTCAAAAGGTAATGATACTTTCATTTTCACATTTCAGTGGAACAGCTTTGAGATTGGTCTACAGGAATTGTTTTGCAGTTATCTGTACAGCAAACATTAAAAAGGGTTTCACTAGGAGAGGGAGGCTCAAAATGGGAAGATCTTTCCTCGCTCCAGGCATGGGAATCTTTCCAGTTTAACTGGAATTTCATTTTTCTCACCTTCAAATTTCAGTTTCGAGTTCAGTGTAAAAATTGAATAAATTTTTTTGGGAGCAAGTTGTAAGGGAGTAAATGTTAGTTGACACGCGGCGCTCAAAACTTCCCTAAAGCTTAGTGAAATTTGTTTGTTGAAACAATTCTATTTACATGACGCTTTCGGACCCTTTGAAATGTACGAGGAACTAATTTCACAGATTTCCACAAAACCTGAATTTGCTCGCGCTTCACCACAGCCACTTCGCGTGAATGCCCGGTGTCCACAAAAATCTGACCCCGTAAAAATCAGACTCTTACCTGTTATTGGTTAATTCCTCTCACATGACCGGCCATTCTCCTAATTATCACACTTACGCATGCGCATTACTCCCAATGGGTCCCTATTTCATAGAGGCATAAATTCTTGGCAGCGCTGCAAGACTCCCGGCCGGCCAGGTGGCTTTTGGAAATTGGTACATGTTCATGTACTGAACATAGTCGAAGTGCCGCGCTGTACGTAGGTACACACATGCAGTCAGGAAACAAAATCGAAATTATGGCGGAAGGAAAGAACTTGAAGTTCGTTGAGCGGGGGGCTGCCAATCTGAAAGAGATCGATATATCGGTAAAAAATAAGTGGAACTGATCGTGGTGTGAAGAATTATTACTGGCTGAAACGGAAGATGAGCATGTGGTGGGCGAATGATTTCGTAAGCCGTACGACCCTGGAGAAGCATAGTGTGAGTGGTGTTGTGTTTGTATCAAGTACAGTACTTCCGGAGCGAAAGCAGTGATACAGCATGCAGCTAAGTACTAGAAGCACTGCAAACACTTCCGTGAAAGAAGTCCAATAAATTAGTGAAACAAAATCAGATTAATTTTTAAAAATATGAGAAATGCCTTTATAATTGAGAAGATTTTGCTTCAATAAATTGGAGGCAAAGGGGCCATGAATTGCCTCAGATTGCACCACAGCGCATCTAGGATCTAAAAGCCATAAGGGCTTTGCACTGTGTGCTCGCAGTAGTCTCTCCATGATTAATTTCATCACAAAATATGCTCAGGTTTTTGTCATGCCCATTCACATGCCTGTTGCTGTTAAAACAATCAATTTTAACAGACAACAAACCAGTTGAGGGTAGTCTCTCTAGTGGGTAGCATTTTTAAAGAAAGCTGCAGGTTTTCTTCTCTTTCTCTTTCTCTCTGTTTTTCTGTTCTTCAAATGTACCCCTGGTACCCATATGCATTTTACCTTTAGCTATTGTTATTCAGTCCATCTTATGTCTTCACAATAAAACAAGTCCTCACATCGAAAAAGTTACAAGTTTACAATGAGGCACAGTATGTTATTCAAATCAACTTTGGCAAATGCATTTTTTTATCCTTATCTCTCTCCCATTACTGAGACGTACATGTAAGGGTATCCTGTAATTATGAATTGGCTGGGGATTTAGTTCGTGTGATCAGCTTGTGATGGACTGCGTGGAGCTGTTACACATGTAAATGCATGTGTAAAGTTCACATAGTGCAGAGCCAGAAGGCATAAGTAAGGCTTCCATTTTACCTTCAAATGATGATTTAAGGTTGAAAATTTCACACATGGTTTTGTTGTAGGGGACTGTAGCTTGCTTACTCTGCCATCTCCAGTGGCATCATTTTGCTCCTGGGATCAGTCATGTCTTGGGGTCGGTTGCTGCTTGGACTTTGACCTTGGCGTGGTTCAAAGGTCATTTTCTGTCTGGGCAAAGCTGGACCCCTGTGCTCAGACTTTCTCATTTGGATTTGAGAGGTGGAGTCATGTGGAGATGTTGAACATTCAAGAACTGCAAGGTAAGAAAGAATCATTTCATGTTTCCCCTTCCTTCCTAATTTTTAAGGTATTCATTGAATGGAACTGACCTGCATAAGGAAGTTTGTTTCAAAAAAGTAGTAATTTTGAAGGTGCTTGTGTCATTTGTTTAACTATAGAAATGCATACGTACATGTCAGTGGTGAAGATTGACACATCAGTTGCATCTACTTCGATCCCTAGTTGCTGACCAGGAGCAATTAAATGTTTCTCATATAATGGAAACCTTGTCAATGTTTGCAAATCAATAAATACTAATACCACTTTAAACAGTGCAACATTGCATTGACAACTCAAGCTTTAGAAAGGATTTGAGATGCGGCTGAAATTTTCAGTTTGAAATATACAAACTATCTGCTCTAGCTCTGTCTGTGTATCATATTTCATCCCTCTCCAGCTCATTCCTTTGAGAAAAACCTTGGACTGCTAAAAATCAGGTCAGTCAGTTAGATTTGTAGGGTTTTTGGATTGAAAGAGGTGTTCAAGTTTTAATGATTATGTTTGCAAGATGACATGCAAGCTGTTGGAATAATATATGTATCATGGGTGTTACACAATAGTGCACCTCCAAGAGTTTGCAACGCTTGACCAATCACAGTGCGCGAAATCTGTCAACGTGATGTGCATTTGGAAAAGGTCGACAGATTTTATGCCTTGTGATTGGTCAATGCATTGCAAACTCTTGGAGGCGCAATATTGTGAATCGCCCGTTTTGTAGTAGCATTCAAGTTTTAAAAAGCTATCACATATTTTTTAGTTTGCTTTGAAAGAACTGTATGGCATTTTTGTCTTTTACTGTTTTTTGTCATAACACCATTATATTTTAAATCCAACAACAGTTTCCTTTGATTTATGGTACATAGCTTTTCTTTTTTTCATCCGATTCATTGAACTTTGGGAAGCTTGTTCTCCCTCTTAAAATAATTGTTTGAATATTCAAATACGTTTATAACAAATCAAATATTCGTAAAAAAATTTTTAAATTTTGATATTTTTTTAAGTAGCCACACTGAAATATGCCACAGTACTATATATGCCTTGTGCTTTTAGAGGATAGGTTTTTCTTTGACCAGTTTTGATAAACTAACCCTGAAAAAGGAACTTCGGCGTATCGGTACTGAATACGTCTGATGGAATTCGTCTAATCTTTAAGAAACATTAACTGCAACTGTACGGTAATATGTTGCACTACCAGATGGAAGTTTTTGGTTAATGGCAATGTTTTGCTCATCTTTCCCATCTTTTGAGCAGGTTCAAGCCCATTGTCTGCAAGTTTGAATGTTTGGTCATACATATTTTTGAATGGTGAAACTATAAGTTATTAGAAAATGAACAGCCCTAGACAATTGCATTTAGGCAAAATTTGTGTTTGGCCCCCTTCCCAACTGTGGATAAGCCTTTGGAAACGTGGAACCATGTTTGGAGGATTCCTCTGTTCCAACAGCATTCTTCACAATTCCTATTCATACAACAAAGTTATATGTATAATATATACATTATGCATGTGTATAGTGTCCTCCATATGGTTGCTATATTCATGTTCCATACTAACTCAAAGAGGGTCAATATACAGGACAGTCATGAAATCTTTACACTTGAGG